TCGCGCTCAGCATGCGTCGCGCACGCCGGCTTATTGAAACTGGTTAAAATGGCCGCGGATCGCGGCACCGTCCGCCCGAGAGGGAAGGGCGACAGTCGCTGAGAGGTCTGCTGAGGAACTGACCAGGCGGGGTAGTAAATGGGCTCAAACTCAATGTGTTCGATGGATTCGACAGTTGATTCGACACCAAACATTGTGTAAAAGAAGCAGAGAATATCATGCTACGAGCGTTTGATGAATGTACCTTTTTTTGCGCACTCACTCATTGCTTTTGCGTCATGATTTATACCAGAGAACACAGCGTGTCGAGCTGAGTGGCGGCCGACAATATAAACTCATAGCCGGGCCGGGTGTTCTGCCGGTCAGCAGACGTCTCTGGTGGATCGGTATCGCCGGCAGAGCGACTGTGATGCTGCCAGGCGTCTCGCTGCATTCTGTCCTGTATCCAAATACACGGGGCGACACGCCGTCGGCGGCGGACCGCATTATTATTGCAGGTGTTTACATCGGCGGCCGGAGTCGCGTCGTCCTGCGAGCGCCGCCGCGCGGCCTCTGCCGCCATACTCCCCACGCCATTTGGTATTCTAAATATGTAATTTGGTGCGCCGAGAATAGAGCACTCTTTTCTTGTGGGAGGAGACATCGGGCGTTGCCATTGGAAGAAACGGACCGCTCCGCTGTGTTCCTCTGCCAAAACAGCCGCATTAGGCTGCCGGACGGCGGCTGCCAAGACCGCGCTGGATGGCACTGCCGGTGGTCGCACCAGCGCCGAGCGAAACTCGCCTCCCGGTCACCTTGAATGTCTCTCGACGTTTCTTTCGAGCGCGGTCGAGCATCCGCGAAACATGAGCCGCCACAATTGCTAATATCTTCTTCATATGAGCTCGCCACGCTTTGTAACTGTTTACTTATCATATTTTGGTGCGTGGTTCTGGTTCATATAAATGATTAAATTTACGTCGTCGAGCATGCTTAATTGAACACATTTTTTGTTTATCTCAGTTTTAAATAACAAGTAGGCAATGTTGTTATTAAGACGGATGCCTGTCCAATCTTCTCGCAAGAAGTCATCATTTATACCTTGATCGAATTCGTGACTGATACTATTGAATCGCTAGCCTGCCGTATCCTGTAAGCTTATTGTTTCGACGGACTGCTTGCGGACAGAAATTCATGAACCGTCCCTCGCGCAAGGGCGTTGTTTGTGTCGTTAAACAACGCCCGTTCTGCCCATGTATGTATTGTATGTGTTTAAGCGTCTGTTAATCTTGCACAGTAATTGTTTGTCTGTCAGTTTGTCTGTATGGCAGGCTGTATGGCTGGATGTCCTTCTGTCCGTCTATAACTGTTTACCTGTCTGTATGTCCGTGTGTCTGTCTGTTTTTCTGTCTGTCTGTGTGTATGTCCATCCGTCCGTCCGACCGTCCATCCGTCCGTCTGTCCGTTTGCCTGTTCGTCCGCCAGTTAGTATCTCATCAGCGGACGGTGAGCGGAGCCGCTCGGCCGGACATGGGACGGAGGCCGGCGGCCATCCGTCGACACGCGTCACATGCACGGCCGGCACGCCAGCCGCACGCCGCCCATCGGTTCGTGAGCTGGGAGCGGCGCGCGGCATTCGCCAGGCTAGACGACAATGGGAACATCCAGCGGACAACCAGACAGCACCGGACGCATCCACCGGACAGTCCCAGTCTCCAGACGGCACCGGACAGCTCCAGACGGCACATCCACCGGACAGCCCCAGACGGCACCGAATGTATTTACCGGACAGCCCCTGACGGCACTGGTTGGCTTTTAGTTGCATATTTGATTGTGTGCAGAATACAGCTGCACACAATCAATTTCGGGTTCTAGCATGGCAAGCGAAACTATTTCACAGTCGTGTCTGTCTGTTTGCGTGTTGCGGGTGACCGCTTTCATGTTTTTTTATGCATTGTGTTGGTTGGCCTTTGCAAGGCTACGGGCTGGTTTCTTCTCAGTTAGATGCTATATCTTGTTCACCTTGAGTCGGCTGTACTGTAAGAAATATCCGTTAGCTTCCACGCGTTTGGAATTATTCAGAAACTGGCCGCTGGTCGTCGAGCGGTATTTTCTGACCTGAATCTATAGACTGTGCCGCAAGACACCCTTGTACGCCGGGACAGTCTACCCTCTTGCCGTCCTCAGAGCTGTGCGAACAGCGCGCCACGGCACACTGGTCGGAAACGCTCCAGCGAGAGGCCAGCGGCCTTTCCGCAAAAGTTTTTTGCTTGTTATTCCACAACTAGTGAAGCAAACTTCATAAAACTTTGCATACCTTCTCTGTCATATGTAAGCTATCATTTGGATGTCAAGCACTAAATATATGACGTGAATCTGTTAAGTTATGACGTCATAATTGAGTATCATACAGGATCTAGCACCACTTTAAGTCAACAAGGGAAATCGGGAGCTGCTATTCGGGCACCGGGAATGGTTTCATGCACTCCGTGCAAGGTCCAGTGCTTCACTTTAGCATTGTTGACTTTGTGTGACGTCATTTATGACGTCACTAAGGCCATATAAGTTTTTCGTCAATAACTCCTGATCAGATGGAGCTAGAGAGTCGGGAAAGCCACCATTGGACTCAGGAAGACCTGCCGAATCGAATGATATGCGATATGACCTCCTTTAACCATTTTCGTGACCTGAGGGGCTCCGACCTGACCTTGACCCGAGGTTAACACCTTAAGTTGACTTCACCCGAACACCAAGTATAGCATTCAACGCGCCTGAGCTAGACAAACACGATGATGCCAAAATCGCGGCAGTGCGACCATTTTTGGCAAAGTAATTAACCTAAAACCGAGCCCGTGCCTTGTGGCACTTACCTGACCTAAGAGGTCACTGGCTGACCTAAGACCTTAAAATCGGTTAGTAATCGTGCGTCTTATAACGGCACACTCGCTCGTTTTTTTTCCGCGAGGCTCTAGCTCAATTAGAGGCGAAACGGCGAGGGAGTTGTACCAACCCTCCCCGGTCAATATAGAAAACCAATCGGTCCGGCCAGGGTTAAATACCGGAATTGTGATCTAATGTAAAAAGACGGCCCAAGGTAACCCGACGTCAGTGACAGGTGTCCTATATTTGCAGCGTCTTATATTCACGACACGAAGGTTTCAATTTCCACTTTCTTCAGCCGAGTGATGGTTGTCAATAGCAAGGCTCTCTAAATGCAAGCCGTAATCGCCATTCGCCACGCAATATGTGGAAGGCTTTTGATGTCAATACATACATAAATGCATACATAAAACGCGCTTTTTCACCAAATTCATAAACTCAAGCGCATCTGTTTTTAATGACCAGTCAACTAACTACGCATGGATGCGTGCAGGCCAGACAGGTCAGCGTAAGCCGGGCGCGGCGGCTGAGCCGAAACTGGGGCGGGGCGGGCGGTAGTTGGGTAGGAAGAGCGGCTCCTGCAAATTTTGCGCAAATATGCGCAGTTAGCTTTTATGTTGCCCTGGTGTAAATTTAAATCCTGCTTCATCTCACAAAAAATCAGAGTGGAACTAGATGGGACTACCTGTTGTTTCCTTACCTAAACTTTGCAGTTATATTCCAGAATCACTGTAGGAGAGCCTTCATAAAAAAGCTACAGTAAATCTTAGTTAGGGAAAAAGTATACCAAAAATTGTGCACTGACCAGTCGGCAACTTCATAACGAACATTTTGATGCATAATATGTGGGATTTCAATTTGGTGTCTATCAGCAATAAGACTCTGAATATCCGGCTCAAGAAACATCTTGCTCCGCGTCAGTTTCCGAGTTCTGGGATACCCCATCTTCGGGGGCTGATTACAGTTATTTTTGGTCACCCGGATTAGTTTTTTTGGCCTAATTATAATAATTTGATCAATTTCAAATCGATCTATATAAAAAATAATCCGAAACTCCGGAATCGCCCGTGGCCTCTCGTGAGGGCGTATCCGACCAGTGTGCACGGCACTGAAGCGCGAGTCAAACGAAACAGCTCTGAAGCGAAACAGCTGATTTTTTTTTCATTTTGCTGTGTTTCTATTCACTCTTGTTTAGTTTTAGACTGAGATGAGCTCCATATAGTGACCTGCGACATTTCATAATTCACACCAGTATTTTCACCGCTGGCTGTTGCTCATTTAATGCTGCTAAGCGTGATATCAATCGCAGCAATTCTAGTCGAAAGGCAATTGTCGATCTGGGCCGACGGCCAGCTGGCGCATGCGGCATGACTTGAACATGGTCTGCCTCTTACGGTCCCACTGCTATAACGAGCACCCAGGGACTCGGGTGCCGCGATAGGTGCAATCATGAGTCATTCTCGACAACCGCAATGGTGACTTTGCTCTGATATTTTCTCTAGGTATTTTTAGTTTTCTTTCGATTTTGCATGCTGTAAGAAGTGTGAGGCCTTTACTGAATATTCTAAGGCATTTCCGACAATCTGCCAGCCTCAACCAATAATATAATTGAACGAATGAATCGGGCTTGAATATGCACATTCCTCTCGAACATATCCCAGTGGGAAGTAAGTTAAAACATCAAAGGCTTTCCCACTGATCGGTATTTGCCGCAGTGGCAGTGACCGGTCGTTGACTGTGCGATGCAGTCATTTGTGCGTGAAAATTTCATTCGTGCCATGAAAATCATTTGTGCTTTGAAAATTTCCCGCTTGTTTCTTTAAGCTCTCCCCATGGGTTGGGATTGCCGGTGAGAAATTATTTGCAACTATTCTGAATTATTGCAAAAATTTGGGATGCAAGTTGACTAGCTTCCATTTTCTTGGAGGCAGATTTATAAGTGTAAATGTGAAAGATGCGGAAGGTACTGTTTTAGAATGTTTATCTGGGATCTATTTGTAATGCTTATAGGTACGCCCGTTTTGATAAGTCTGCGAAATAAACACATAAGGCCGCCATTTAGTCTCTCGGCATATCCTTCAACAATCTTCTTTTGACACATTCGTTATGGACTTCAAACTTGTCTTTTCTGTGTCTTTCAGGAGTTGAAAGTGAATTGGGCGACAACACCGGGCGCACAGACGAAGGTCGACACAAGCAGTGAGTACCACTGGACCCAGCGCTGTCCAATGAGACAGTCAACAACACCGCTGGTGTCACTTTTCAGGGCAGGTGTCACTGGCTCGTACTCAGACGTGTCTCCAATGAACATTTTTTCATAGATGTTTAGTTATCCTGTCTTGGCGGCCTATCCTAGATGCCAGAGCTGCTACAGGGAGTTTTGTAAAAGCCTTTGTGCTGGTCAGAAGCTCAGTTGTGTGCGAGAACAGAGTGTCTTTCTGTCTATCCAACCTACAACAATAGTGGCACAACGTTTCATGTATGATAAGCCATCATGTTCCTGAACTTACAGCATCGCAAATTAAACGTTTTGTTCTGATCTATCGACAAATGCCTGGTGTAACCCTAGAATGGTCATTTTCCAGAGTTGTGTTGCCTTCTACATTGTTTGAGCATTGCCGGCCGTCGTAAAAAGAAACTTCTCTTTTGAGCTGTATAACATTAAGATACATGAATTTTTTATATTTCCAGTCAACTGTTGAAAATTTTCAGTACATATTGCATACGATATAGGGTATCATTTGAAATTTCAACACTTATTACTAACCGTCTATTGTGAAGTCATAATGAAGTTGGGGAATAGTTTCCATGCCAATGTTATCTATTTATGTTTTACTAGATGTTTGCAGTAACAAACCTAGCAAATCACAAGTATTCATTATTGGATAAGAAAAATTGGACACTTAACGCTTCGGGTAGTATACATACACTCTACCAATTGTACTCTACCAATTTTATCATTTTCCAGGGAGAAATCAGAAAATTTGTGTTCTTGTGCTTTGTGGAGTAAAAATCGTATTGTTTTCAAACTGTCGCTCTCTTGTCTTTTTATGCGAGAAAAACAACAGTTCAGACGCTGCGGCAAAGTCATAGGCCCCTCTCTGCCCCTCTCTTAGAGCCGCTATAGTGAAGTCATTCACCACATGGATGGATACCCACGCACCTGTCAGTTCATAGTTTGCCCGTCAGGGAGTGATAATTGACGTCAGCTCGGCAGCAGGATGCCACCACAGCTATGACGTTAACTCGTCGGCTGTGACGCTAGCTCGCCGGTTGTGACGTTAGCTCGTCGGCTGTGACGTTAGCTCCTCGACTGTGACATTCGCTGGTCCGACGAAGACACGTGTCTCCGTGCCAGTTGATATGGAAATACCAGCGAACTGGGCGTGCCTGCCCCGACTGTGTCGAATGAGCGCCGACTCAGCGCAAGACGAGCTGAGTGGCGACAGTGCGCACCGCAGTATTGTCACGGAAGGACACTGGCAGTGCGCACCATATCTCTTTTACAGATTTAATTGCGGCAACGTACACTGTAGCTCTGTCACAGATGCCTGCTGACGCCCCAGTGAGTTTAACGCTTTCTGTAGGTAAATGTCAATCGTACCTCCAAATAGCTAAGATGTCGCCGATCCTGGTCACAAAACAATACGATCTTGCGGGTTGTCGAAAGGGGTATAATTTGCATATTATGTGGATGGTGAGTTTGAAAGCTGTAGAGCACTGAGGCTTTTAACATGAGAACTGAGAAGGTTAAGTTTTCTGGAGGCATATCAATTTGATAACTGTGGCAACTGACGAAGTTTTCTAACGTTGATAACCGATAAGTGGCTATTTTAAGGTGAGCATTGTTAGCGTTTATTTCCCCGGTGGTGAGAGGGCGATGAGTTCCACCGAGCAGTGATACACGCCGAGAGCTCGGTGCCGGCCGGGTGAGGACGCCGATCAGGTCGCTGTCCCGCCGGGCGCCCCCTGTGGCCGCCAAAGGTCGACACTGAAAGCCTTTGCGTCAGTCGGCGGCGACGGAAACCAACTTTCTGGACTTGAATTCATGAGGAATCGCTGCCAGGCATCGCAAGTTGTTCGAAGAAGCGCCTGTCCCCTGGGTCCACCGGTTCCAGAGAAGCTCCAGCGCCGGCCGGTCTGGACTGATCTCGACGCCTGCACACAGAAAAATAATTACCCCTCTATGGGATTTTTTTACATATGAGGAGTACCAGTACCCTTATTTCTCAGGTATGAAAACCTGAATAGGAATAGTTACACACCATTTATTTGGGGTTCCCGTACACCAATGGTTCTTTTTACACACATACTAGTAAATGTACCTTCAAGGTTCACAGTACCCTGCAAATTCGGGGTATCATTAACAAACAGAGTGGTATCTTTACCCGAAAAATCAGAATCGGTCATGATAGAGCTACTCTGGCAGCATGTTTTTTTACTACTTGTCACTGAAAAGCAGGTACCTGTAACATGCATCAACTCACAAGGGTGTATAAGTACTTAAATGCGGTTTTCTGACTAATTTTTAGGTAGAGTTACCTTTTTGTTAGTAATTTTACCTGATGCTGTCAGAAACTCAGGGGGCGTGACCTAAGTCGCGCATGCGCAGAAGGGTGTTGCTCTCCACCAATCATCGTTCCGCGTTTGACTGTTTTGGCGCGCAGGCTTTCAGTTTGTGCCGCCGTGACCGGCGTGATGGGTGTGTGTGTGTGAGGCTGGGAGCCGCACGGCGAGTGCTAATGGCGTTTCACGCGTTTTATTGTGCAAGTGAGCTGCGCGACTTTCTTTCCCGGTCGAGTGTGGTGGTGGATCGTGTTTTGCAAGGGCACCAAGCCGTCAAGTCAACAAGAAACAGCACTGGGATGTCAAGAAACGCCGTCAAGGAACAGTACCAGACACCAGGTGAGTGCAAACGAGTGTGGCTGAAATAAAGCCAAATGACCATGTCACATGTGACAACACATGCATGTGTTTGGAAAGTCAAGTACGATTTTTTAAAATTGCTTGCGACGCAAGAAAAAACGAAAATTTTTCGATTCCATCCCCACCTCTGCTAGGATAACGAATATACCAACGTTGGTATATAACAGATGGCGCAACTAAGCGACACGAAATACAAATATTTTGTCGTGCAAGACGCCTTTATTCTCAACGAATAATTCATTTAAGCGATTCTGTAAAGGAAAATTATTTTAAAACATCATACTTTTCAATTTACAAAAATGCCTACCAGCTTCCTACCAACTAAGCGCTCGACCAAACAGATCGCTGGAATCGCCGGCCGTCCCGGCAAACGCCGGCCGGCGGCGTCCGCCGGCCGGCGTTTTCCCCGTCTTTCTACGACCATCGGTTCGGAAGTTAGACAGGGGGGGGCAGAATCTGCCCCCCCCAGCAGGGCGCGTATGGCTGAATAGCCCAGCGGGGCGCGGGATACTGCGGTGTGCGTATTTTAGCAGATTGTTCCGGTGAACTGCGTAGCGGAATGTAGCAGAACCGACGCGTGGTGTACAAGTACCTGATGACACTGGATACGAGCACCTGGTTACGAAACCCTCAGAACCGTGGTACCCGCAAAAATGGTACAGATTTGGCACTCTGCAGAGCGATTGGCGTACATTTACACCACATTGGGTTATCCGACCCATATTTATGCGCTCATAATAGGTTACACTACCCCAAAATACGAGGTAAATGAACCTGGGGCATGGTACAAAAACCCGAAAGTAGTGTATTACTACCCGTAATAATTGCGTAGCGTTACCTCAAATAGCGGTGTACCCTGAAAAGCGTCTTCGAATGAACGGAAAATCAAGAGTAGGAAAAAGATGTAATGGAATTCGGGTACCTTGATTATGGTGGTAGCAAGACACGACTGGGATGTGATTACCTGCATTTTTAAGGTAAACATACCCGAAATAGTAGTGCAGAATCGGTACTCTGTAGTACCCTATTTTTTGGGGTGATTTTTTCTCTGTGTGTGATGTGTGATGCCCGGCTTATTCGATACGATTATTGCCCGGACAATTCGGCGGTAGTTCAGTCAAAACCACAGCTCGGATAACCGCTACTTATTGATCAGTATTAGGCTATGGGAGGGCTGAAGGAGTTGCGCAGCTGTTCGTGCCGCGTGGTTTCTTTTGTTGGTTTTGTGGTAGAATCTGCTGTTTGTGGTGATCATCTCGTTTTACTTGCTTGGTATTGTATTGCAAAATTGTCTATGGCTTTGTGTATTACATTGGAGCTTTTCAATAAATTCGTAACAGAATAAAAAGTCAGCAGAATGGGTTGCGAACAAAACAATCCAAAAACTGTGTCGCGTAACAGTGAACGTCATGAACAATGAAAATGAGAAGAAAAAAATGAAAATGAGAAATGAGACATGGCCGCTTCCAATGTTCTGCTGCTGGACTTTCATGGCGCTTATGAATGTTGTAAAAAAAGGATTTCTATAATGACTTTTAGGAAATCCTGAGATCATGGCTTTTCCCGAAAGATGCAATTTTAGGACTTATCTAAGGGATAGTGCTTTCCTATTTCACTATATTACCACCAAGTTCTCTGAACAAATATAGCACCATGAATTATGGTAGTTTAAGAGGAATAGCTGACTGTATCGAATCAACTTGTCGGGCACGATCTTGAATTTCTCAACTACTTAAATATTGCATGATGAATCGGCACCTTGGGAAAATGCTGCAAAATTGAGGCTGCCGTGCCTTACTGCATTTCTAAGTTAATTCTCCGCCGTCGGAGGCAAACAGCGGCGGCGGCGCGGCCGGAATGGATGACTGCACTGAGCGAGCACCGCTCCATGAGCGCCGCACCACCAGATATATGGCGGCAATGATACCCGGTGGCGCGTCCTGGCCCTGTCTCGGCACCGGCATGCTAATGCCGGCCGGGCCGCCGCGGCGCGGGCACCACGCACCGTGCGACTGGAGACCCATTACCTGGCCGGGACACGGCACACAGTGATGATACGGGCGCGTTTATCCGCGCCGCGTGCCCCAGCGGGCGGCTCGCGTGCCGCCGGGCACGCAGCGCCGCCGGCCGCCGGCGATATACGGCGCACGACGTCGCCGCGCGTTATTACCGACAAATACATCTCGTGTCATTGCTTGTTGGCGCCGGGCACGTCAGCGCTAATGCCAGAGCCCATTGATATTACTTTAGATCTGCTGGCGATTATCGTGATC